TATCCATTATAAAATATTCAAAATATATAGAATTTATGAAAAAGTTTTTTAAACAATTATGATCTGGAAGACTTGATCTTGAAGAGATAAGCTATATAAATACTTACCGTGGTTTGTAGGCTCCAATGGGAATAGCTGCCATATCAAATGGGCCATAGCGACGACCAATCTGTTTAAATGCGGGACAATAGCCGGTGTCACCAGCAAACCACGCACGATGATGAGGCCCTATGATAGCCCAACTACCCCAAAGTGACTAGAGGAAAAATTGAAATGCAGATTCACTGAGCAAAAAATGACAGCCCTAAAGGTCGGTTCAGCAAGCAGAGCTTACCTTAAACATATCCCAAACAAGATTTCGCCCAGACCAGTGTTGGGTCGGAGTAAAACATATCTTTATACCAGGAGTCCGAGATTTTGAATTAGAATCTATTTCATCCAATTCGATTTCATCCCACCAGAGAGCTTCGACAACTTTCGGAACTAATTTAGTTGGGTCATAATTTGATGTGGAGGAAGGATCGTTGCTTCTGAGTGCTTTATTAAGTTCGGCTAGAATAAGAGCACCAAGCCCCATTGGAACACACCAAATTGCTTCAGGTGAATGATTAGCAAGTAAGGAAAGAGTATTCAGATCAAGGTGATCGAAATGATCATGTGAAATGAGTACAGCATCAATATGAGGTAGATCATGAACCTAATGTGGAAAAAGATTAACTTGATTTTAACACATTAGGTTCCAAAAAAATAATCGTTTCTTTCATGCATATATACATATATTTAATCAAACACGAGTAGAAAACTAAATGTTATATCAAAACTTTGTGCCAAAATATCGTTTAATACAACTTTTAAAATACGAAGAACAAGATGACATCCTTAGATTTAATCGCTCTCTTCTTTAGCCGTATAGTATTAGTTTGAACCCATTTTCGCAACTTGGTCGAAGCGACAGGGGGACCTTGTCGAATATACCTAAACCGTTTCAGGGAAGGTACGAAAGTAACGGTTTGATGCTGAAAATAACCATGAA